GCCACGGTGTTCTCTTGAAGTAACTTTGTATCCGATTGATCATCGACAGCTACAGTATATTATTAAATAAGGAGCAAGTTCAATTAATATTACGGCGTTGGAATTTTTTTTTTTTTTACTAGAATCGAAGCCTAGTTACCGTTAATGAGATTTGTTAAATCACGTCCGATCAATTCTTTAAGTAGGAAATCAATAAATTCTTTGGCAAACGAAAGTTCTTTGATGAGAGACCAGCATTCCCTATAAGCACCATACTTTTTATTGTACTTTTTAAAAAAGTCTTGTAGATCTCCTAGAATCATATCGGTGTTTTCTAAAGTGTTTAGCATCTCGATTGCCCAGGATTTCTCCTTATTCTTTATATTAAATTGGGTGAGGACATCCGAAAGGTTTTTGAGTTGTTTGATCGAAGACGGAAATTGGGCCAGATATTCTATTGATCTAAGCAAATCATTTTGCGTTTGGCGTTGTCGGTACCATGTTGCATCACCGGCCATCAGATCCAGTTCATGTTTGACTTGTTCGCTGGTGATTCCATTCCAAAGCGGTCGCGCCTCGGAACACTTGATATGTTTCCAGCTTTTATATTCTATGCAAATTCTTTGATATCTTTCGAGCAAAGAATCTCCAAATACCTGCGATACAAGAAGCACACTTTTCTGAACTTCTTCGTTCGTGTCTATTTCAAATACATTTGCAAAGGTTTGTGAATTTTCGTATTGGTATGCTCTTCGGCTGACCTCGATTATCTCATTATGAATCGACCAATAATGTGGATTAACCAGTTCAAGAAATGGTGTATTATTCAAATTATTCACTTTTTCAGTAAGATCATCTAGGTAAGCTAGAGTATCTTCAGCCTTGTTGCACCACCTATTGTAGAATGAAAAGAGTTTTTCAACGGTATTTGAATGTTCGCGCAATTGCTCTCTAAGGGAATCCAACATTTCGTTGGCAATTTTTTTCTTCTTAGTACCGATTCCCGCATTAAAATAACCTGTCAATATATCATTTGGGAATTCAACTAAAGTATTAAGCATTCCGATCGTGATTGATTGATCCTCTATTGCACAGACGAGCTGAGAAATTTTTGAACGAACGCTCTCCACATGTGGATGATTGAGTAACTCGTTAACTTCACCAGTGGCGTTCAATATGAAGATCCATAATTTAGATGATTTGAAATGTAATAGTTGCAAGTGATCGTTGCTGGCATTATGAATTTTAGACACTACGGCTTTATTTCGAATTTTATCTAGTATATGGCAGAGCACATTTTCGCACAGCCTATTGAAAAAAGAAAAAACGAAAGATGACTATTTAACACTTATTGGGAAGGTATAGGACACGATTTGACCAACTCACCTATTAGGAACATACAAGGGAGAACCTGATGAGTTGCAAATCTGAGAAATAATTTTAATTACGGCAT